GTCGCAAACTGCTGGTTTAAGTACCCAGCGATGCCCATCCATTGCGTTCTCTCTTTGGTGAAAGAGGTCACACTACTCCATCAAGGAAGGAAGCGTTAAGGAGGTTCTCAACCGCTGGAACCTCCTCTGCACATGTACATTGCCTCACGAAACCAAGAACGTGCCAAACCGCCGGAAGAAACCAAGGTCACAGCCACAGACATTAGTACAGGAGAAAAGGGGTTCGAACCCTTGACCAATAACACGGAGCTCCGGAGAGCTGGCTACCATCCATACATGTCTCCATATGATGTCATGATCTCGACTGCCTCAGGCATCAGCAAGCCCACACGTGTCTCATATGGGAGCCAGCCTCTGACCTCTGGTTCCACAACAGAGCCTTACAGAGACAGCAGCTTGTCAGCTGTCAGATTACCCCCACCTCTGCAGAGTTTGGTGCATTCAAAACACTCGGCGCAAGGGACGCCCGTAAGCACGTCGGAACTCTCTGCCGCACCTGTCAGAGGAGACAGGGAAACTGTCAGAAAGACAGCAAACAGCTGGAAAGATGTCAGCTCAAATTGCAGCCCTGGCACCAACTGGTGAGAGGGAAAGGGGAAAGGCAGAAGATGCAAATAATCAGGGCAGTATCATCTGAGAGGAAACACGCAGTGGCATCATCACCTATCAGAGGGAACAGGAACACCCAGGAAATGCAAACATCCAGGGAGATACCATCTTCTGACGGCGAGACTGTTGTAAACGCGGATGGTGAGAGATGGCCCTCCACAAATCCCTCCTCCACCCCTAAAAACAAAAGGGAAAAAAAAAGACAGAAAGAAGAACTCCGCAGATCCCCCTCCTCCCTCCGCAAGGACGGACAACGACGGACAAACAAACATGTGTAGCTTGGAACAGACATCATGAAAGATCGAGTTCAGGACAACACAGAGGACATAAATCTTAGATCTTCCACTTCAATCATCAGAACAACAAACACGACAGAAGAGTACATAGCAATCTGGAGGTAAGCATGGATGGGAATAGCAGAAACCGTCTCTGTTTCCAGTGGCACGAGGCTTGCCAAGCAATGAATGCACTCTATAGAGGCAGGGAATCCTTCAAAGGCAACGATGATGGGTACACTCCCATGTACACGAAGCCAAAGAGCGGACAGGAGAATGAGAGGGCAACACCACACAGGTTGTAAAGCCTCTGCCTGTGGTGAGAGGTGGCATGCATCATGATGCATGTCTATTTTAATGCATGTCTATTTTAATGCCTATGCCTACCAAAAGACAACTCTCAACTTGTCTCAAGCGAAGTTGGTGGTGGGGCAACCTCTGTACACCTAGAGCCGTATAGTGCACAGGAGAATAGGAAGGCAACACCAACTGGTCGTAAAGTCTCTGCCTGTGGTGAGAGGTGGTGGTAGCCGGTGGATGATGAACCATGGTACCGATCCCGGTAATGAAAGGAACGATAATCACATAAAAGATAGGAAGGTTAACAGTGAGTCGATCAGACAGGGCAGGTATTCAGTGTTAGCCCATTTGGAGGAAGAGAATACCACGCTACACAAGAATGAAACCCTGAAGGGCCTCAACCCAATATCGAAAACGATCAAAACCCAAGCAGACCAAAACCACAGCAAATTCCAACACTTCCAAGTTCCAACCTAAAAGATGATATTCTAATGGCATCTAGTACATCTACTCACGGTAACATCTGCACTGGGCTTCTAATCATGGGCAACATAAGGCCAAATAGATCGCACCGCGTAGATTTGCCAACATTGAATATACGGATTATATGCCCAAAAAAAAAAAAAAGGTTAAAAAAACATGACAGCAAATTGGAACCAAAACCATGTTTGACACAGTTGTACAAAGGAAGACATTGCAATGCCGATCTTGTGACAGACTCGCTTGCCGAACCCGTCTACGCAATTATCCCACCAGACTTTCATTTTCGTGAGTACTCTGTTCGGCTGTGTATCGGAGACAGACGGGGTTCAACCAACCAAAGGTCAACAAGCTAGAATCGTCAACATCACTGGATGATTGACTAATCCCCTCTCACAAAAGTTCGAGTCATCGCAGCGAGTTCTTCACTACGAGCATCTTCCATGACAGCAGTGAGTTCTTCACTACAGCATTGAATAATCGTGCCAGTGGCAAGTAAGTGGCAGATGTGAGAGAAATTACAAGGAGAATTGGCCACGATAGCCGACAAAAAACGAACAGGAAAGGGGGGAAAAGAAGACCATCGACCTGTGAAACAAAGAAGAAAAAGGGAAAAAAAAAAATTGAGCAGGCAAACTCGGAAGCCTTGTAGAGTGTAGCGATAAAAGAGTCTAAAATTTGCAGGTAGCATCCAGCCAGGGGGCTGGTTGTACAGCAGGGGATTTGGGGGATAGTTTTAGGGTTTAAAGTTTGGGGTGTTCATAGAGTGTGATCATGAGTTATATAATAAATTAATAATGGTTGATGTATCTGGTGTGTGTGTTCCATCTACTCTTTTTCATAGTCTCTAAGGGATCCTCTTGCTAACTTGTATTTATCAAATCAACACAGGACTTCCCTCAGGATTCTTCCATCCTGTAATGACCTGCCATAACACAGACTGAGAACACTGCTGATTTCTGGAGTTCTGCCCATGGAATGGGTGCCTCGCTGAGATTCCCACATTCTGCTGAGTTTTCTAAAGTCTGTGTGCGTGGGTGCTTGTTGACCTGCGTGCCTGTCTGAGTGCTTGTCGGTATGAGTGTGTGTGTGACCCACAAGGGTACTTGCTTGTTTGGCAGCCCAGTAGGGCCGGTACTTACCTGTGGCCGTGGTATTAAGGGTTGCACCAGGAAAAACACTCGAGTAGCGGAGCCAGGGGCCCGTGGTGCTGAGAGCAACGGAAAAACACTCAAGTAGCAGGTAGGCCGGTACCGCACCCAGTAGCAGTAGATGTGCCGGGTACTTGAGGCCGAGCAGAAGAAGACAAAGTTGGCATTTTTAGAGGCCCAGTAGCGGTAGGCTAGGTCTAGGCCGGTACCAGGCCATCCAATCTGAGTCTAGACCCTGTACGGGCAATATCAGAGTCTGCAATGATGTTTCCCTCCGAAAGGGAGGAGGTACCGGTTGCTTGGGAGGCTGAGCGGCCTGGAAGTCACCGCCCAGGAGGCAAGTAGGCTGCTATATCAAGAGGCCGAGGGAAGAGCCCAGCCTCATTCTTCAGTGTGCAAGTTTGGCGACACGCTGCTGGAGCGCTGGCTGGAGTAGCGCTAGGTACGCTGCTGGGAGGAAGAAGCCGGGAGCTTCCACCTTGGCTATGATGGAGCTCTACCGGTAGGAGGAGGAGGGAGAAGGGGACCAAGGAGGAGAGGGCGAGGTACTTACCTGGCTATGGTGGACGCCATCTTCATCACCTTGTTAGGCGCATCTGGAAGGCCCTTGTTGGGGTAGTGCCGCACCAAGGAAGCTCGGCGCAGAGACAAGCATGGCGGCCTAGTGAGCAGCGGCGTAGCTGCTTTGCGTTGTCCTTTGCACAGGGAGGCAGCGACATAGCTGCTTTGGGTTGTCCTTTGGACAGGAGGGTAGAGCCCTCAGTGCTCCGCCATAGCCTCGGCCTGCATGTAGAGGAAGAGGAAGGGTGGCCATGGCTATGGTGGACCTCATGTTGTGCCTGCAGTAGAAGTGGCATTCTGACATTGATTCTGGTTCAGCCATTCAACATTATTATTGTTATTTCTTGTTTGAATAAGAGGGGAGAAGGAGATTGGTTGGCGAAGAAGAAGAGCCTTGTCATCGGTCTATACTGGAGTACATCATCTTCTTCTTCGTTCTTACTTCTTCTTCTTCTTCGTTCCCTCTCTCTCCTCTCAAGTTCATTCATTTCTTTTTGCAACTGGACGGCATTGTACTTTCTGATGAATGTATACTTCGAAATTGGCCAGGATCGTAACAATCCAAATAATAACTAGATGTTTTCCCAATATAGGTGGATGCACACTCTACATTGATTGGTTCTTTTGGGGGGAAAAAAAAGAAAAAAGGCTGGATGCACAATCTAATCTTAGAAGTAAACGGGACATCTTTGGCGTGCTTTGCGAAAAAGCTTGGACGGGAGGGATGATGTATGGCAAGATACTGGGGAAAGAAATATCACTGAAAGGTGGATGTGGCCCAGGAGCATCTGTTGTTGGCTAGCCGGCTCCGAGGCATGCTGCACTCCAGATATGAACAAATCGGTGTTAGTCTTTGGCATTTCTTAGATGGTACATCGAGGGCTATGATGCCTAAAATATGTGAGGAAGGGGGGCGGGGGGGGGGGGGTAACATGTGGTGGATTATGCAAATTTGTGCAGGTGCATGATGTGCAGGCTGAGTATAATGGCAAAACATATATTGCTGAATGCCGGATGTAGGCCACGAGCGTTTGTTGTTTGGCTTGCTGCCTCTGTGGCACATTGTGCTTCGGAGACGAACAAGTCGGTGCCAGTCTTTGGCATTCTCAGATGGTATGTGGGCCTATGATGCCTAACGTAGAATATTTCTGTGTGGCAAGTATGGAATGCATCAGAGGAATACAGTAAGAGGTTACTGTAAGACCGATTGAGGGAACGTGCAGACTTACAATTTGCGTTGCACTCAAGCACTGTGAGGAGGTGGCGTTTTTTTCTGCGGCTACAAGAGGGGAGGTGGTGTCGTACGGTCTCGTGCCGGGTGTAAACGTATGGGCCCTCTTGCTTTTGGGTATGAGCTTTTGTCTCCCAACAGTGAGCTCCTCCATTTGAGGCCGGGCACAGAAGACCTGGTGAAGGGCACCTACAACTTGAATCTGGACTTCAAGGAAGACGAGGAGTGACTTTAGGGCTCCCCTCAAGTTAAGCGAGCTCGAGGGCGGCAGCCATTTCTGCACCTGCGGACTGCAAGTTGCTACTTTAATCTTCAACATCGACGGGGGATCCGGCGCTGTACTTTGGGGTGGATGTTGACCCTCCTAGATGATAGGACAGTAGTGTAGAGGATGCTAATTGGGTCGGGAGGACTATGTGAGAGGGGGGTGAGTTTCTTTCATCTCAAGAGCCCGGCCACTCAGGTAAGTGCCGTGCCGCCAGGATGCCCATGTGTGTGTGCATGGAATTGACTGCCTGCTGGGGTATTCTGGGTTCTTCTTCCATCCTCCATAGTCTTCATCTTGTGTGAGGTGTGTGAACTGCTTACTCACCTGACGAGTGAATGAATGGACTATCTTGCGTGCCGTGCTATATATTTCTACAGTGCTTTGTTTATTTCATGCTGAACGGCTGTAGTCTGTAGGTTCTTTCTGGGGCTAAATTTCGGTTTTCAATTCGGTAGGGGCAGAGAGAGTAGGTCTTTGTGGAACTCTTGTTGGTTGGGACCCGGTTCGGACTCCACTGGGACCATTTGGGACTCAGTGGGACCGGGCCCAAACAAGAAGGGCCACTCAGGCCCAAATCTGTTGACATCAGTTACTTTGCTCTATTTGATTGGGACTTGGAGTTCATGCTTTCGGACCAGGACACTCGCTGCTGAGGGGATCTCAGCTGAGACGTTTTAACACACTTTACCGCACGATCCGCTGCCTGACTCGCACCTTGGACACCACTCAATTCTATCTTGCATTACGTAGTACACTTTGAATTTGATTTGCTGTGTCTTCACGGAGCTGAGTCCGGCTAGGCTTGAGAGGACCTCATACGTAGTTGGGCCAGACTGTGTGGCGGAATCAGATCTCTCTGATCTTTTATTTTTTGTTGTTTTGACTGCTCTCCAGTCCAAATAAATTGCCGCTTCGGCTAGGAGCTCTACCTTCTCTTCTAGTTGCCTTCAAGACTGTTTCTTTCATTGGGTTCGTTAAATGCCTGCGTCTACACGATCGCAAACGAGAGAGAGAGAGAAGAGAGAAGCTTCTGAGTGTTGCTCTTGAGGGAGTGAGGAGAGGGAAGAGGAGTGTTCGTCCCAGAAGTGTGAGGAAGTACGGACCTCTCCTGAGAGACTTATTGACACCCTCGTCCTCCATCATGGCATCTGCAGCAGAATGGAAGCTGCAAATGGACGCTGCCCCTGAGGCAGAAAAAGCGCAGTACCAGTTCTTTTATGAAAACGCATTGAAGAGGGAAGAGGAAGAGAAGGAGAAGGAGAGGGGTGACAAAGTAAAGGCTCATGAAGCCGTCTTCAGTACCGTGCCCGCCTTAACTGATGATGAGGTGGAAGAGAAGACTGTCCCACTCCTCAGGGCTTTAGTAGAGGTCCGGACTGTTGAAGACCATACGGGCCAACTCGCCAAGGTGTTTGATGAACTCAAGAAGTTGCGCGGGGATATGGCCCTGATGGCGCAGCAGCACCGTGGGCTGCTGGAACAGTTTGCTAGCTTGCAGCCGGCCCAAAGTGTTCTTCCTTCTGCTTACCCTGGTTCTAGTGTTACATGTCAGTCCATTTTTGCCACTCCAACCATATCTTCTTCTTCTTCTTCTTCTTCTTCTTCTTTGAGTGTGGCCAACAGCCTATCCGGATCTGCAGCAGGTCCAGACCCCGCTGTTGCGGCGGCTGCTGCTGCTGCAGCGGCAAGTGGCAGTGCAGGGCATTCTGGAACTGTTGCAGCTTCGAATTCGAACCCAGCAATCGTTGGTCCTAGTTGCAGCTTTCCCTACGTGGACAGGAAGGCGGCACAGATTTCGTCCAAGTATGACGGACAGGACGACATTGAATCTTGGATCAGCTCTATGCAATCCTACTTAGATGTGCTCGGGACACCCCCGGTCACTCAGTCAACGGTCCTAGGGACCAATGTGGAACCCTCCGTAAGGGGCTTCTTAGAAGTCCAAGTTGTACAGTCAGGCTATAAAAGAATAGACCTAAACAAATGGTTGAAGGCTACGCCAATAGCCACACTCCAGGAACTCTTGATCAAACAGTATGCCGATCCGCATTTTGCAGCCAAAGCTAGACTTAAGCTTGACAAGCTCAAGCACAACAAGTGGACAGGCACCATGCATAGTCTGCAGCAGTATGTTAGTAAACTTTTTGCTACTCCTAATCATGAGATGACTGCGCAGTCTTGCTTGGATGTGATTAAAGGCATGGTCCCCTCTACTGTAACACATCGCTTGGGGCTCGGACTCATAACGTATATAGATTGGCTTTCCCTCATGCGGGATTTAGTCAAGCTCGAGGCACAAGACCTCCCGGGTGGATCGGGTGGCAAAAAGACCACCAGCCGCAAACGGTTTCCGGGCAGCAACCGTTTTGCAGCGCACGATCTACTTGAGGTTGACGAGGGAGACCTTCGCAGAGGACCCTTCTCTTGATGACGATCAAGAGCAAGACTGCGAGACATCTTACTCTTCGACAGCCCATGAGTCTAATTATGTGAATAATGATGAGTCTATGAATGCCTTTAAGAAGACTGCCTTCAAAAGAAAGGGGTTGAGAACCATAGTGAAGAACAACACTAACACCATTCTTATTCCCAAGGGAGCAAAGATTCCACCCAAGCCGGGATATCCTGCCACAAAACCATGGGTAGATCTCCGGATCAGTGAAAGTGAGTGAAAACACAGGGTGAAGAAAGGGGTTTGCCTGCATTGCACCAAACCGGCACACTCAGTCCAACATTGCTTCAGATTGCGGCAGGGAAACCAGCAAAGGGGGATGGTAACAGCATGTGTTTTCATGATGGCAAGGTGTTTAGAGATATCATCAACACACTCTACAGACGGAGAGGCTTAACATGTAAGTGCAGATCCTTTGTCGGATTCTAATCTAACTCAGCAAACCTATCCTGAGACCCCATCTAATGCTGATTCCAAGGCTGAAAAATTGCACATCCTATACAAGGAGCCTTAAGTGGAGTCGGAAGAAATTGACTTCCATACTCTCTTGACACGCTAGGCTCACATGAAGCAAGAACGCGTGCAAGGGAAAACGAAGTTGATCTTTTTCAAACTCCGCATTAACGGTCGTTACATCCGTGCGTTGGCTGATTGTGGCGCAACCGCCAACTACTTCTCACTGCACGATATTCGTAAGGCACGCTTGGGAATGAACCAAGTGACCTTGCAGAACCCTTGTCGGACCCAAGTGGGCAACCAAGAGGTTGTCACCTTTACGCATGCAGTCAAAGGTGTGCGCACTACCTTTGACGCATAACGCATAATCAGGCATGAGTTGAACTTCTATGTCCTCAATCACTGCCCCTTCGACGCGGTTATCGGCTTGGGCTGGTTCCAAGCCCAATGTCAAAGAACCGCGTGGAATGACTCACATTTCATGGTCAAAGATGGCGTGGGAATCGAGCGTCCAGTCCTCCTGGATGAGCCGCACGAGTCCCAAGTAACTTTTCTCAATCCAATGAAAGTCTGCAAAAAGTGGCGCAGACGCAGAGTTGATGAGCAATTGTATATAGCCTTTGTTAGGCCATGTGCCTTTTATTTTTGTTGTACATAATGATTCTACTTTGCTTGTCGATTCTACTTCTAATGCAACTACTTCTACCTCTTCTAAATCTACTTCTAGTCCAAAGGACTCTGCTTCGAATTCTATTGTTTTCGTTGCACCTGTGCTATCCGGTATGCTTGCACCTAAATGTTATGATCCACCTCCGGAAATCCCATAAAAAATCCGCAACCTTCTCAACAGATTCCCTGAAGTCTTGGTCGAACCGCATGGAGTTCCCGTGCGTCCGGTCCGACACAAGATCGAGTTGATAGAAGGTAGCACTCCTCCAAAAGGTTGTGTCTATCGAATGGGCTCAGGCGAATTAGAAGCTGCGAAGATAGATCGATGACATGCTTGAGAAGAGATGGATCAAGCCAAACGAATCCGAATTTGGTGCACCGCTTCTGTTTGTCCCTAAGAAAGGAGGCAAAGAACGGATGTGTATCGATTACCGCAGACTGGATAGAATAACAAGAAATAATGCATATCCTTTGCCGCGCATTGATGACCTGCTTGATATTGTGGGTAGATGCAAGGTCTTCAGCAAGATCGATCTCAAGTCTGGTTACCACCAGATTGAAGTCGACCCTGCAGACCAGCATAAAACTGCATTCAAAACTCGCGATGGGCTATACGAATTTACCATTATGCCCTTCGGCCTCACGAATGCACCAGCCACCTTCCAAAGCCCCATGGACAAGGTGTTCCGCAATCAGATCAATCAATTTGTTGTTGTTTGTTTAGATGGCATACTAATCTTCAGCAAGTCGATGGAGGAGAACATGAGACACCTTGAGGAAGTGTTGCAGATTCTCAAGGATGCGCAACTTCATCTCAACTTAGAGAAATCTGAGTTTGGGAGGGACAACGTCATCCACCTTGGACATCGGTTGTCTGCTGCAGGCCTAGAGCCCGAGGCAACCAAAGTTGAGGTCATCCACAATTGGCCCCAACCGACAAATATCCGTGAGTTGCGTTCTTTTCTTGGCCTCGCGTCATACTACCATAAGTCTGTGCCCAAATTCTCTAGCATCGCCCGTCTGCTGTCCAAGTTGACAAGTAAGAATGTTCGCTTGAGTATTACAGCAAACGCATGCCCAGTCACAAGGTAGCTGCCTCCACTTACATGCCAGAAATCTATGCCTTGAGAGAGGCACTAAATCATTGGAAACACTACCTCTTGGGTCGCCATTTCAAAGTATTCTCAGACCATGAGACTTTGAAATGGGTCCAGACAGAGAATAATCCATCAACTACATTGACATATTGGCTGCATGAGATTGATGTGTATGATTTTGAACTTGAGGACAAAAAAGGTTGTTACAATCGTGTTGCGGATGCTTTGTCTCGCCATCCTGAGTACATGACTTGCCTTGTGGGTTCCTACGATCTCCGTAAGAACTTGAAGGAGGAACTCATCGAGCATACTGCCAAGGACCCGGAACTCAGTCCCATCCTTGAGCAGATCCAAGCTGACCCTAGCAGCCAGCCCGATTTCCACGAGTGTAAAGGTTTACTCTTCCGACGTTACGGGAAGTACGACCGACTGTGTGTACACAACCACGAGCCTATCCGTACTCACTTTTTGGACTTGGCTCATGGCCGGAGTGAACACTTCGGTTTTGAAAAGACATACGGAAGTCTATTCAAAAGTTTGTATGACCTCGAATGAAAGAAATGACAAGGAAGTTTGTGGTTGAGTGTGAAGTTTGTCAACGCATTAAGCTGTCTACGCAAAAGCCCTAAGGGCTGCTGCATCCTCTTCCTATTCCTGATGGCCCGGGTGAGTCTCTTTCCATCGATTTCACAAACATGGGAAAGAAAAGCAGGAACGAATATTCACAAGTAATCGTGATCGTTGACCGCTTTTCAAAGTTTCTTAATCTGATCCCATTACCACCTCATGCCCCGACTGACCTTGTGATCAAGGAGTTTCACAAAAGGTACATTCTGCAGTGTGGGCCCCTGAAAACTCTTGCGGGTGACCGGGACACTAGGTTCATAAGTGCAGATTGGAAGGACTTCACCTCCCAGATCTACGACATCAAACTCAAAATGACGTCTGGCCCACATCCCGAGGCCAATGGACTGGCCGAGGAGGTCAACCAGACTGTGATCCAACTTCTCCGAGCTCTAATTGTGTCTGATCAGAACTCTTGGGATGAGGAATTGCCAATTGTGCAAGGACTGTACAACAACTCCATACACTCCTCCATAGGGATGACACCTAATCGGCTGCACCTCGGGTGGCAAATTCGCAATCCCCTATCCTATCTGTTTCCCGACCAGCCACCTGGCCTAACACCTGTTCAGCCAGGTTACAGTGCTAAGTTTGATCACTTGCTCAAAGTTGTTGTAGCAGCTATGGAAAGGCAACGCAGTGCCATGATTAAACATGCTAACAAAAAGCGCCAGCCTCAACCTTTCACAGTGGGAAGTTATGTCTGGGTCAAAATGTCTGAGTTTTCTGAAGACGAAGGGGTAACTATGGTCCGTGGAAGGTGCTGAACCAAGTAGGGGACGACTCCTTTGGTCCTTCTTACACAATCGACGTGCCTCCTCATCTGTACACGTACCCAGTCTTTCACGCGTCAAAGTTATTCCCGTATGAACCACCGGAAACGTTTCTGTATCGAGAATCAACGATTCCTCACGCAATCAAGGGCGGTCACGAGGTTGATAGAATTGTCGAGCACAGTGGAAAAGGGAGAAACAGACAATATAAAGTTCATTTTCTATACCACCCATTAAATGACTTTTACTGGATTGCTAAGAAAGATTTGCTGCAGAGTGCTCCGCTACTTGTCAACGCAGAACGACTGATTAGCTTCGAACAGCAACCTAGATTCACTGCTACCCTTACTCCTACGGAACATACGCGATCTCTCTTTGCCATTTACGCCTGCGCTGCATTATGCAGCGACTCTGATTGAGTTACTCGCTCGAAGGGACCTCGCTCTTGAGGGGAGGTTAGTGTAATGACCCGCCATAACAAAGACTGAGAACACTGCTGATTTCTGGAGTTCTGCTGATGGAATGGATGCCTTGCCTTTCTCGGCCTTTTGGCTAAGATCAAGTGTAGTATCTGTTCTGATCAGTTTAATATCTGATCCGTGGTCCATAGGGAAAAAAAAAAAAAAAGAGGAATGGATGCCTTGCTGAGATTCCCGCATTCTGCCGAGTGTATGTGTGTGCTTGTTGACCTGCGTGACTGTCTGAGTGCTTGTCGGCATGAGTGTGTGTGTGACCCGCAAGGGTACTTGCTTGTTTGGCAGCCCAGTAGGGCCGGTACTTGCCTGTGGCCGTGGCATTCAGGGTTGCAGCAGAGAAAACACTCGAGAAGCGGAGCCAGGGGCCGACGGTGCTTAGAGCAGCGGAAAAACACTCAAGTAGCAGGTAGGCCGGTACCGCACCCAGTAGCAGTAGATGTGCTGGGTACTCGAGGCCGAGCAGAAAAAGATAAAGTTGGCATTTTTAGAAGCCCAGTAGCGGTAGGCTAGGTCTAGGCCGGTACCAGTCCATCCAATCTAAGTCTAGAGCCTGTACGGGCAATATCAGAGTCTGCAATGATGTTTCCCTACGAACGGGAGGTGGAACCGGTTGCTTGGGAGGCTGAGCGGCCTGGAAGTCACCGCCCAGGAGGCAAGTAGGCCGCTCTATCAAGAGGCCGAGGGAAGAGCCGACCTCATTCTTCAGTGTGCAAGTTTGGCGACACGCTGCTGGAGTGCTGGCTGGAGTAGCACTGGGTACTACAGTGCTGCTGGGAGGAAGAAGCCGGGAGCTTCCACCTTGGCTATGGTGCAGATCTACCGGTAGGAGGAGGGAGAAGCGGACCAAGGAGGAGAGGGCGAGGTACTTACCTGGCTATGGTGGATGCCATCTTCATCACCTTGTTAGGCGCTGCATCTGGAAGGCCACCGTTGGGGT